GGGGGGGGGGGGGGGGGGGGGGGGGGGGGGGGGGGGGGGGGGGGGGGGGGGGGGGTGGGGTGAAATCAGTTTGCGAAGTACCAATGCAGAAAATTACATTTCTAGCTGATAAACGGTTTACAGAAGGATCTCTGTGGAGATTCGCTCTTCTGTTGTTTTTCCAGGTTGCCGTCCGTTCTGTGGTTTAACCGAAAATAAAGATGTAAAGACGCAAAGTATTTTAGAGGTGAGACACAGTGCCACCTGGAAAGGGTTTATTTGTCCATCCAGTACAGTTTATTTATATGGAGATGTATATATGCACACATGTATATATGCACACACTTCATTCACCACGGCATACACAGCATTTACATGTTGTATGTCTCATGTTATAAGTTAATATAACCCAAATTGTGACTAACTGCTGCATTATCAGGCTTAGTCATTAATGCAAAGGCTATAAAGACATTGAAACAGTGTTGGTCATGCCTTGAAGAGTCTTTGACAAAGAAAACGAGAAGCTTTTCTAAAGGCATCATAGGGTCTTTTCCTGTCCAAAGGTGAACTCTGTATACAGTACAAAATGGCAGGGGTCACTGGTAATTTGGTTAAGAAGATACTATGACACAGGGGGCAGCAAATTTATGTATTTTAAGACTGAGCCATTTAGCAGCCTTTAGTTCTCACCTTTGCATTTCCCAAATGGTTTGCCCTTTGCAGAGAGCCCCTCTTTGACCCTGGCCATGGAAGAACCCAGACAGGGGTGCTGGGGGCAGCCCACACCGCCGGCCAATGGCGGGTGCGAGCTGCGGGGGTGTCTCTGGATGGCGTAAGTGTCTCCTTGGCCTGATGTGACACCTGCCATTTGTGTCACCCTCAGAGCCTCCCTTACCCTTGTCGGCCGCCTGAGCCATGTGTGAACTCTGAATGGAGACATATAATGTTACAGCAGCATGCTACTGTAGTGCCTCTAGTGCACCGGTACAGCCTAGTGCTAGCAATGCAAAGGTTGTGGGGTTGAATCCTAGGTTGCTTTGGATAGACGTATCAGATGAATGTAAAGTGCACGGCTTCCCTGTAAGGGTCTTGTAAGCACAGGATGAATATGCATGAACTGCTTTGAAACTGACTCAAAATCATTAGATGCAAAACACCTTGTAAATATGAAATTAGCGTGACTCAATAATGAATATTTCTACTAAATGTCAGTTACCTGCCTTAATGATCTATACTTGTTTCCTATGAGTTTTTCCTCAGAAACAAAGTATTTGTGGTAAGTCCCATTCAATAAAATGAAATTCAGTCGCTAAAATTATTTTTGAGCTCGGAATTTGCTGAACGTTTGGATTTCAAAGCAAAAGACAGTTAAAATTTAATAATACAGTTAATCCACTGGAGCCCCACAGATAACCAAAGATGGTCACATGGTTACGTCTGTATATATTTTTTTTAATTGTGCTGGTTGAAACATGCAATACAAAATGCGATATGTTTTTATTTTATTATTTAATTGCATTATGCGCCCGCCCAGGGTTGGTTCCCGCCTGCGCCCGTTCGTTCCCGGGATAGGGGTAGGGGTAGGGGTACCCTGGCAGATTCAGGGGGCCCAGCATGTAGCAGGAGCCCTTCGATATGTAAAATTGGGTTGGGGGCCCAAGGTGACATTTTAACAGGAGGCCCAGAATTTCTAGTTGCGTCCATGGGCACAGACACATGTGAAGTAGGTGAAGTAGACGTCTGAGGTGCTGGGCCATTGCCGGTGGGTGTGAAGCGGTGTTTCGATTGGCCACTGAGGAAAGCGAACCTGATGCACACACTTCAGGGGGCTGGAGAGAAGCGTGGTCTCCTCAAACTATTATTTATGGTGCCCTTTGCTGCAAGGTCAAGTACCAGGCAGGGATGGCCTTAAACAGCTTCTTGTTGGTGCATCCACAGCGATCTGCTAGTTTGCATAACCAAGCAATGGGAAACGCTTCGGGGGAGGGGGGCGGAGTGAGGGGAGGGCACTTTGTACTTCCCTTCCAAGAGGTGCTCTCCCATGCTGATGAGGCTCCTGAAACTGCTGAAGCTTGTTTCACTGACAGGAGCGTCACTGAACCGACTCCAATCCCACTCCAGCCCTGTCATTACCAGCTCCCTCCACCAGGGCCATGCATCCTAATACACGATCATCGTTGGGATATTTCATAGTCATTGATTACACTGATACACAGCAGTGGGAGGGTGAGGTAGGCTGGGGTGGGAGGAGTATGTGTGTGTGTGTGTGTGGGGGGGGGGGGGGGTTGGTACTGTTAATACCACCATGCACAGAAACCTTAACAGACGCTCTCTTTATCACATGGGTGGAAAGCAGCACAGGTCCGTGCATTGGGCCGGATCCCTACAGAGACAGAGTCACCGTTCCCATCCCAAGGATATTCAGCCATCGGTAAACAATCAGAAGATGCTCGATTAATCTTCAGTTTTTTTCTAAACCTCTATAAATAGTTCACTATTGTTTTCTTGAATTATTGTGAGTAGGAGATTGTGTTTAAGGGCTTTTCATGCCTTGAAAGCCTGATCTGATGTTTAAATGTGGGTGAGAAATAACAGGCGCCTACTGCTACTCATTCTGGTCTTCCGGGCCAGTTTCTAAAATGCTTTTACCAGAGTTGGAGATTTAAGGTCCAGAGAGTACAAATCCAGACCAAGATTTTCTGCTGTGATTCATTTTGATCTAATAGAGAAGAACGTCTGTAGCATCTCGTTCTTTCATTTCAGAGTGATTTCCTCCACTTTCAATTCTGTCCACAGAGATTTCATTGAAATGTATGATGTCAAGCGGAATTCCCAACAGATTAAGAAGATACAGTGTCAAGCGGGTGGGGCAGGTTTGCAGGGGATCCCTATTCAGCGCGAGTTTTGGGGGGTGGGGGGTGTTTGGTGAGGAAGAGGTGGGACCTAAACAATTTCTGGAGAGACCGCTTGTTCGCCATGCTCCAGCTGTGCACACAACAGCTGCAGGCCGACCCCTCCATCACCAGCCCCCCCCCCCCATGTCAGGCTAATCAGGCTAATTCCTACACAGCAGATGGCTATTCAGGGACACGTCCTGTAGGACCAGAGAAATGATGCTCATTATCCCTGGACACAAAGGAAATCAATAATCATTTTCAGGAGCCAACAGAAAAACACTATGCTTATGGAAAGTTCTTTCGGTGTATTTACATTTGTGATTAATTATAAGATTGAATTATTAGAAATTGTTGGCAATGCTCTGTCTTCATTATAGGTTTTGTGAATGTTAATAGCTATTTTAGTTATTTCTAAGTGAAAAATTAAAACATTTACACTATATGCCAAATAGTGGAAGGGTCTGTGTGTTCTGGTGTTGCTTATATAATTAATTGTTGCTGGGAAAAATATCTGTGAGATTAATTAATAATTCCCTCACGTTCTTGCATGTTTTCTCGCTCTGCATATTTTTCCCCACAGATAATAATGCAATTAACCACAACCTTAAAAAAAAAACTCAAGTGGCTTTAATTAGAGAATTAAGTTTTTCTCTGGAGTGTAACAAAGTACAACAAACTCCATTATTGGAAAAAAAACTGCTTTTCTTTCCTCTCTAAACAGTATAACTCCATTAAATGTTGTTATTGACAGGTCCATCAGATTATTCAAAGGAAGTTGCGTATATTTTCTTAAGTGTTCCCAGTATTATTACTTGCTGTCATGTTGATGCCAACCATACAGATGACAGACAGACACTTTTTGTCCAAAATAACAATATTTCGGTGGTTAATATTCCAGCTCACTGTGTCTGAATCTGTTAGGGCATTGTTTTGTAATTTTCTGTAAGGCTTTGCATCAAAATATTATATAATGATTTATAAGTGAGTGGTACAAACATAAATCCTATGGTCCAGCCTTTGGCCGAGGAATGGATTTCAACACTGCTGTGGCAAAGCCAAGCCACAAGTTGTGTGAAAATTGTGCACTACCCGGGATTAATGCCAATGGACAAATTCCCTCCTCCTTGTAGCCGAGTTCAGCCTGTTAAAGGGGACAGTTTGCCCCCGGAACCTTCCACTGAGAGACTACCGATTTGTAGCGGTGACCGATACAGTTACCCACAACCGGTTACAACACAAATAAATAATTCGCGGCAAAGAAAATGACTCTGAATCGCAAGTGGTTTGCGTCCTCAGACAAAGCTGCGTCAGGTTCCTGGAACTGTCACACCTGAGAAGACCGACGGATGTTATGAATGAGGGGAGGACAGCCAGGTGGACCCAGGTACGAAAGTGCCAGTTCTGTTGCATGGACGTCAGTCTGTCATTGTCACAATTATAGAAACACAACACCATCGTGCATTGAGAACTTAATGGAAGTTCCTGTTCCCCCGAGTTCTCTCCTCTGTTTATTAACATGTCAACACTGCCAGGGACACACCTTTTAGGACATCTGGTATTTCTGTGCATTTATTGTACTTTTTACAGGGAATTTGATTTTGGTGTTCCCTAGTGAAAGAGCCATGCTGTGTAACAGTGGATTGATGTCAAGACCCACACAGAAGCCCAGAGGGTCATGGGGCTCTTTTGGGGGGGCTGCCTATCAATAGAGCACTGGGAAAGATAAGAATAAATGGTTAATGACTGTGCTTAATGAGCTTGGTTACCTTGATTTTATAGTGAAAAAAATGATGGAACAAAAGGGTGGAGGTAGGGAAAAAAAATCATTTTAATAGAAACTAAATTCTGTGGGGTTTTAAGGCATCTGGGACAAGCAGGGGAGACAGTAAAATGATTTGCAAAGGGTAAGAAATTAATCCCTAATCTGTTTTCTTTACAGGAAAAGACATATCACTCAACCATTTTCTTAAACAAAACCGTCATTCAGCATCTGTTCTTATATTCTGTATTGTGTGTGATTCTTGAGAAAAAAATTGGAGATATTTGTTTGTATATGTCGTCGGGATCCATTAATGGGAAAAGATCACGCTCAGCCAAAGCGTAATACCAATTAAACTACGTCCGTGGATTAATTCTCCCCTTTAATTGATGTAGCCCGAAGTCAAAACCTGGATATGCGAGGCGCGCACCTACATGATCAAAAGCGTGAAGCCCCGCCGCCCCTCTTCCCGGGAGACGCGTAAGGCGGCGGGCGCAGCGCGAACGGGGCGGAGCTGACCCAGAAGTCGGGGGGCAGGAGAGGAAGAAGGGCCGGGAGGATCTGGGCGGGTGGGTGCAAACACCTGGGGCGTCTGTGCTAGTGCTAGCTGTATCTGCGAAGTGTACGTCTGTCTTAATGCTTTTCTCTTTAGACAACGTTGTTGCCGATAGGAACACGGGCTAATATTAGCATTTTCCACACGTATATGGAGAAAGTGCAACAATGCACAATCGTGTTTTTATATAAGGTGAACTGAAGCACAGATGATGTGTCAGGATTATAATGCAAATTACACAAATTACAGCATTTTCATATTATAGTACATATATATACACCAAATTCTCATGCTTTGGATATTCCCATAAACTCGGCAAGCACGTTGTCACCTTTTTTTTTTTTTTGCATATTTAATCTGTTTATTATTCGTTGTATGAAATCAGGTCAGCTGGATCCGTTCATTAGCTCAGGTGTCACGGCTTTCGATCATAAATCGAGGTCCTCGCCTGCTATGTTGCGCCGCAGCCACCTAGAAATGAACATCGCTGGGTCCTCCCCTTTGGAGGGGCTGATGAGATTAATGGCAGCCATTTCTGGTCTGGTTTATTGTTTCTAGTGCACTGCTCAGGTTTTTTTGTCACTTAACGCTAATATTAGCGGTCATTGCTAAAACGGTACTTACTTTATCTTGCCTAATCACCCCCAGTGACAGCCCCTGTCACCGGGGGTAGTTTGACGCGAGTACTCTCTGTGCATTATTTCCTGGTCTCTAGAGTACCAGGGTTTTCTGTATTTATCTCGGGGCCAGATATCTCCTTATGTGTACAAGTGCCAACAGGAGCTCCCTAGAGATGCCCCAGTTAATTGAATACATTAAAGGGAAGCCAGCCCGGGGCTGTATTTATTTTCTGTGTTTCTGAGACTTGTTTAAACAAGACCTACACTGACGTGGCTGGCTGTTCCTGAGCATGCGCATGAAGCCCTGCTCCCAGCTCCGGCCTCCTAGTCCCTGTCTAGTCTCAGACCACAGCACTATATGGAATCCAGAGGAAAGCTTAGAAAACAAAGATTATTCAGTGTGTCTTTTTAAAGACAGCTGAATAATTTATCCAAATACAATATTGATCTAAGACAAACACATTTCGATTTCACAATAACTGCATGGCTATAAATTTTATTTAAATGTATGTATGAATTTTCAAGACAACCGATATTTGCCAGTACAAGAACATGATCGCTTGACTGTCACAAACCCTACAAATTACTTTGCAGCCTTTAAAAGAAGATTTTCAAAAATAATTCATTTGTCTTGTGCGCAGTGAATATGCTATTCCAAAAATTGCAGCTCTTAATTAAATTCGATTCTCACTTGCAGTAGTATCACTGGGATTTGGGATGTGTGGTGATGTTTCAGAGACATGCTGAGATGTCTTTGTTTTCTGAAGTGTGCTATGGTTTGTTTTTCTACCTAGATGTCATATCCATTAGGTTATTCACTGGCATCATCACATCTTCATTAATTGAAACTTGAAATTACTCCCGTGGTCATTTTTCTTATAGATATCCAGCAGCGTCTCCACTCTAAATGGTCCATAGTGTGTGTTCTGTGACGCACTGGCACCTCCTCCAGGATATACCCCCCATGTGCCCTGTGCTGCTTTGGATGGGTCCCACCCAGAGGTGGACAGTTCAGGTCCAGAAAGTAAAAATCCAGACCAAGATTTTGTTTCAAGCAACCAGTTAAGTATTCTGTGACTGCAACTCTTTGGCTGTGTCCAGATTCAGGGGCTGTGTCCTTCGAAAGACGCTGTCTATGAAGGAGTACCTTTTGTAGGCTGCGTTCTTCGAAGGTCGAACGAAAAGCGTTGTTAAATGGAGCGGTCTGGCCTACGGATAAGTTCCTATTTGCGTCACCAGCTGTTCCCGCCTTTACCCTTGAGTCACAAAGTGCCGCTCCTATCGCCAAGCTGAGACACGCCCACTTTACCCCTGTGCAATGAATCTTGGGATATGCTGGACTGCGAAGGATCCATCGGGTGCATCTATTGCGAGTCGAAGGATGCATTTCTAGACTGCATTTGAAAGAGCCTTCGAAATGGGACAGTCTTGTCGCGCCGCTTTGATGCTTTTGGTCTTCGAATGCAGCAAGTTAGAATGATGCCGCCCGTGAATTCGGACAGTCTTTATAGACCACCGGTTAGTTGAAACAAAATCTTGGTCTGCATTTTTACTTTCTGGACCTGAACTATCCACCTCCGGTCCCACCCCCTCCCCCAGTGAGCCTGATTAGGATAAATAGTTGGAAGATAGATGGATAGATGCATCCATCAATCATCTCATCCTTCTAAGGTCAGCAGAAAACACCCTCAATCATAAGATCACTATTCATGAAAGTCAGTCATTTCATATCACATGACAAGAAACTGGAAATTCCACAAGAGCAAATGTCACCATAAAGGACAAAATCACAATCATCAGAGGTAAATAGAAAAGAGGCCAAACACACCTTCACTAACTCGAAGCGTATTTAGTCAAGATGTTGGGTTTGGGGCAGGCTCCACGTTCAAACTCTAGCTAGAAGTTTACTGCTACACACAAACCTTTACTTATAAGTAACACTAATATGAACATACTCAGTAGTTACACGTTTGTGTGTTTACGTCTTTCCAGTTTTTCTTTTATTTCTGTTTTCTTAGGTATCGCTCTTCCACCAGTGTCTAGCGGACGTGATTGTTTAATCTCCCTCTTTATATAAAGTGGTCTCTTATCAAAGATTTCTCCGCTTCATTTTATCTGGATCCAACCGTCCACCGTCTGCTCTTGAAAGGGCCAGCTCTATTTTGAATACGTAAAAAGGGTTTAATATGAAATTCCATATAATATGGATGCTAAAGTAAGTTTTAAGACGAACATGGTGATTAAGAGGAAATGTACCGGGCATTTATATACCAAGACTGTGAGCTAATTAACCAACGAGCATAAAGATTCATGCTTTAGACCAAAATTTTAATTTGCCACATAAATGTGCCTGCTGTAGGCAGCATTTAATCACCTTCCTGACAGGAGTAACTACTTTCATTTAACCTTGTCTGAAGATCATGAATTCTAACATGTTTAATTGGATACATCATTTAACAGAATGAACAGAGCAAATTTCCTCAATTCAAAGGGTCTGATTGACAGAGACCAGTAGTAAGACCCGCCACAATTAAACCTGATCGGTATTCGCAGCTCTGTCCTCCATTGCTATAGCGATGTGCCTTCGTTTGATCACAAAGAAGCCCCATCGAACTTCGCTTTGCTTCAAAAACTTGTCTTTGCTCAACAAACTGAGATGATTCTCTGATCAGGAAATACGTGCACAGATTCCCTAGACTCAGGACACAATGACAATTATCTTACATTCACGTTAACTTATCTAACATTTTTAGCCAAAGAAATTTAGAGGGGAGGGAAAGGTTAGCATTTATATACCCTCCTTAGGATTTAAACATATAACCTTTGCAATGTTAGCAAGATACTCTACTTGTTGAGCTACCTTGCAATACCGTGTTTGTTGTTAATAGTGCCGGACTAATTAAAATGTTTCAAGTTGACAATGGTTTCTTTCGTTGGCTTTCAAAGTAATTACTTTGTCTTTCACCCTTTCGCAGATGTTTCCTGCTCGAATGTGGAAACTGTGTCAAGCAGCGTGCCGTGGAAAGTGTGGCTGGCACTTAATTGTTTTCGCGCCTAAACGCCGACTCCAGAGAATGAATTTAATCATCGTGCCAGACTTCTCCTCTATGTCGAAATCGAACCAGCTAAAGGAGGTTTGGTTAAGCAACCAAGCTCCAGGCTTTAATTTAATCTTTTGAATTACATTTTTTTTTCTGAAACAAAATTGAATATGTTATTTAAATGATCTTTGCTGTTGAGAGGCTCCTGATTTCTCAGGAAATTGCCGTTGGGACCAAACTTCTATTCAAAGTCCCTCTTTAAAGCAAGATGAGTTACTCCCAGGATTTATGATGTTGATGACATGCATATAACAATATAAAATTATCTGCTGAACAATAACAAGAAAAACTTAACAAGACCATCAAAACCACTTGAAAAAAGCCCTACAGTTCTTCATCAGAAATCATAAAGGATTCTCCTACGTAAAGGACTGGGTATTTTTCTTTAGTTAGAACCTTCATTTCTGTAGAAATCCTCTGAAATTGTTTGCCAGCATCAAGAATTAAAATGTGTTTGGTTTTGTATGACCTTAAGGTACAGGGTGTAATCGTGCAAAATTAACAGTAGTTAAAAAAAATGTAAAATAAAAACACCCCCAAAATATCCCAAAACTTTAAGGAACTTTGTCGTATAATTAGTTGCAAGGGTAGTAGACAATATATTTTCTTACATCATTATTTAATATTAGCCTTTCCAATTATATAATTGTCAGTGTTTCTTTCTGCATATATTATAGTCATGTTTTAGAACAGATTTTTTTTTGTAAAATACTTTCCAGGGATGCTTGGATAACAGACACGGTGACACTTAAAGGCGAGATTGGTGTGTTTAAATGCTGTCAATCTGCTGTGAGATGCTGTAGACACCCAGGGCTAGATGTGTAAAAATAAACCCAGAACCTCACAGCTCTTATGGGCTGTTTTCTCACACAATGACAAAGAGTGATTATTTTAAAATTACAGCAACATTTTAAGCAAGTCAACAGATGATTAAAAAGTCTTTTATAAAAGTAGTCAATAATATGAATTCATAGCAACACTTTTCTTTCCTTAATTCATCTTCAACAAGCTTTAATTAAGTGTTTTATGGGTGTTCTTTTGTGTGCACTTTGTTCATTTTGAATCATTGTGTAGCCAATGGAGTGTTAAAGTAACAACATGAAATTAAGATATTCTCTACAGTCTCCAGACATTTCAATCTAATCTGAAGTTGATCACAAAGGCCCCTCTTACAGACTTCTCTAGATGTGCCAAAGAAAGTCTGTGTCCTTTTGAGATTAAACGTCTGAGGATACCACAGCCACATTATCTTTCTTCAAACCTCGTCAGAACTGTAGAAAACTCCTGTTCCCTTATGCTTGGCAAAAGTCATTGAGAAGGTTTCCAAAGTTATGAGGTCGGGGTACCACAGTTCTTTTCGTTCTGATGCCCTAACCGTCACGGAGCCCACGTCCTCCCAAGCCTGTTCCACAGCATGACATATAGATTGCATCCGGAATCGTGTACTTACACAGTACATACTGAATTTCCTTAGCAGCCATTAATGTAATGCATGCAGTATGTTTGCTTGAAAACACAGTGCATGTTCTCAGACAAATGGCAGTCATCATCTTGCATGTTACTGGACCTGAATATTTACCGATGATGTAGCTTGACCCCTGCAAAATCTAAACACTGTAGAAAACTATCAACGATAAAAATACATATTCAAATTTGTTCAAATATGGTACTTCTTCCACCATCTTGACAAAAACTGAAACTTTTTGTCTGTTTTTGCAGCTAAAGCAGCCTAATTGTGCATTACATTTACATAGTGCTTTTCAAGACACCCAAAGAGCTTTACAGAACCAGTGGGGAGCCACTTTAACCCCCACCACTGAGTAGCCCCCACCACTGAGTAGCCCCCACCTGGATGATGCGACGGCAGCCATTCTGCACCAGTATGCTCACCACACAGTAGCTAAGGTGATGACAGGGCAGGGGAGAATTCAACAGTTAGGTTTAGGGGATGATTAGGAGGCCGGATATGAAAGGGGCACAGCCAGGGCATCAGGGCACCACCCTCACTCTTCCATAGGATGCCCAGGGATCTTTTATGACCTCAGACACTAAGGACCTCAGTTTTACATCTCATCTGAAGGACGGCACCATTTTTACAGCACAGTGTCCCTGTCACCGCACTGGGGCATCGGGATCCAGACAGACTAACCTGTTGGCCACACCGACACCTCTTCCAGGAGCAGCCCAGCCTTCCTAGTTGGTCTCCCATCCAAATATTGGCCAGGCCTAAACCAGCTTAGCTTCAAGTGGATTACCTAGTCTGAACTGCAGGTGGGATAATGTAGCACCCATTGGTTTTCCCACTTCAGAATATCACAGAATGTAGTATGTCATCTGGGTACTGGTTGCTTACTTTATCATCCATACTGAGGATTTGGACATACTGCTCACTTCATAAACTATATTGCCTACTATATACCAAACACACGTGTGACTTCAGATTCAGGTGTCGCAACGGATTGATGTCATTTTGTAAAATATTAAGCACTCAAAAAGGACAATGATCTTTAAAATACTGAGGTTTGTTTACAGAAAAAATAAGATTTTTGGAGCAGAAAAGCTTGTTTGAGAACATTTAATTTATTACCACTGTACTTCTGCTTGACAAGTTGAAACTCCACATTTAAATGACAGTTTACCTAGCTAGCTGTTTAAGTGCAAAAAGGGTTTACCCAGGTAGTGTGTAAAACTTAGTGTTAGTTCACCTTTGCAAGCACTCATGTGTGGTATAACGGGGGACCTATCAATCTTCCCACTAGTGTCAGTCGTACTGGGTTACCAGTGACCAGTGGCCAGTATAGAAGATCCCAAAGGCAAAAATTAATGAAGTAAAAATTAATGAAGCACAAAAGCAGTGCTGTCCCATGGCTACGAGTGTCTCTGCTCTGCCCCATAATGAATGAGCTCTATAAAATCTATCCAATGTACCAGTTTCCCACTTTAAATCTTTTCAGATTTCATTTATGCATAAAACGCTTGTGCCACCCTCTACCCTTCACTCTGCAAGCTCCGGCCATATGACCCCCACCCCCCAGAGAAAGGGTTTGTGCTTGGGAAGTAGGAAGGTACTTAGGTTCGTCCCTTTAAGGGTGTAGGTTTTTCCTCAAGGTTGCACACAGGTTCGAGTATAATCAATCAGAAGCTGCAGTGCTTTAAGTTGCCATGCCCGTGAAATCCCTTGAATTCAAAGCACCTCAAAACGAATGTGGCTTCCTGAACTGCTGGGGTTTTTGATCAGGCCACGGGCTTTAAATTTGAAGTATTCCCAAAACCATAAAGCAAGCAAGCGTCATTTTAAAACTGCCTTTTAAAAAAAAGCACGTTTGAGTTTGTCTTCCTCTACCGCTTTGTACTGATTACCATTGTCCCCGAGCCTCTTTTCCCCGGCGTGACGGCGAGTCCCTGGAATGCGACAGTGCCAATGCCGCTTCTCTGCAGAAACGTCCTGGAGGAAAAGCTAATAATTAACCTCACAGGGGGGGCACGAGCCTGAGCCTGCAGAATAGTTCAGCGACAGCGGATGTGGTCCCCATGTGCTTCCTTTCCATCCCCTGGCATGGATCGTTTGCAAGGCGAGGAGTCCCTGGGTAATACAGCCGTTACTCGTTCTCGGGGAATGTTGTGCAATTAATTAATTGTCTTAATGAACTGCCGGTGCGGTATGTAGGCAGCCGCTGTGGTTATGCAAATAAGTAGATGAAAGCACACAGCAGTATGATCATAGAAGTGCTTCCGGACTACACGGAGCACTGTCGCGTTTGGGGCTTACTCCTATGACTAACCCGTTGAGATGTCATTACGGTATTTCAATTATTTATTAGCATATTTATATTTGTAGTGAAGTAGACATATTTTGCAGCAACCCCGTTAGATTTTAAAATAATAAAATTAAACGGGCATCATTAAAATAGGCCTATAATTCTCAAAATGTACATTGTCATATTAGGAGGGGGAACAAGACAAAAACATCGGTTCTGTTTTGGCAGGTGGACCGGGACTCACTTAACGGAACATGTACAGGATGTTGGTCTATTTGTGTCCAAGTGAAATCATTTTGAAAAATTAGAAATACTTCGAAGTCATCTTGACCGTTTTTTGTGCAGCAAGCATAAACCTTCAATATATTTCAGATGACATACCACGTACATGTTTGTGACATATCTTTGATAATAAAGACTTGCATTCGGAATGTGTATTGTTTTAATATGAATGCGGTAAACATTATTTATACTAGCAAATAAACCTCAATAAATAACATTTTCGCTTTGATTCTTGACACTGTGAGTGCGCTTTGTTTTAAAGACATACCCTCCCCTTATTTCCCGGAGCACCGAAGTTCAAATTTCACCGCGTATTAATCTGATCGTTTTCACGTTTGAAGGACTGCGTGTCCAAGCTTATGCAGACGTCATTCTGCCATTTAAGCCTGTTATATAGAATTTGAAATGGTGTACACAGTACATGCAAATAAATTGAATAAAACAATCTGTACACGCATGATTTACTCGCACGACGTTTAACCAATTCAGCCAAATCCCATACAGCAAAACCGCAGAGCATCAACTTACTGGGACTTGAATCTAGCGTCTCGACGACACGAAAGTATGTTGGGGCCATGGTAAACAAATTAATCTTTTAATTAAACTTCAATTACCATGACCAAATTTTGCGTTAGACCGTGAAACGGATACTCTGATGAGGCTGAACGACGGGGTGACAGGGTGACATTTTAAGACGCAGTTGTTTCATTTCCGTAACTGAGATTTATTACCAAAGTAAACGCAGCGAACTCCAGTTAATGGCTGTTAACTGCTTTTTTTATTCCAGGATAGAATACATATAAAATATAAGGTGAAAACCCAGGCTGTATCGTACATTTTTACAAATAAAGGGCGAGACGACACTACAGGTATAGAGTTGAAAGCTTCTCTTCAACCTAAAACTAGAACGTCCCTGGCAGTCCGTACACAATCCCTTTTATAGGTAGTACACTAGTCCATTATATATTTCAGGTTTGTGCCACTTCTGCCTAAACGGGGACAAAACGGGAAAAGTAAGACACCAGTACATAGGAAATTTCCCTGTTTAGGGCTGTGTCGGAGTGCAAAGAGGAGCATTGTTTCATCACAGTGTGAATATGTACCTTCTGCCTCCACAGAACAACTTGCTTAAACATTAAAAGTTACTTTTTAAAGACGCTTGTGGTCTTCCGAGTCGTTTGCATTAGAACTCCCCCTTCTGGAACTGCGAAGCAACTACAGTTTATAGGTTTTAACGAGATTATTTTTGTGTGCGCTTTTTCATTTTGCATATATTATTCCTCTTAGTCCTTGGTTTAAAATAGGTGCACAATGACCACCTATTGTTAAAACCATTATCCATAAACCAAACTGCACTAGTTTCATTGTATGCATTCATAACTGATATACTTTAATAACATGCATTGATATCCAAATATTAATGAATGCATACATTAATATTACTCAATACAGCAGTTACAAAGCATGTCTTCACAAGGGTATCATTAAGTCTATTAACACATTTTGCAGGGGATCTTTAGAGAAAATACCACATTTCTTAATGAAAACTGATTGTGTCAGAATTTAAATTATTTCAATTTAATACCCACTGTGACTGCTATTCATTCTGCTTTTTCTTGGATTACGCACGAGAACTATCAGGAAAACAAACCTAGAGCACCAGAATTTAGATTGGTAGTGGATAGATAGAGCTTAATAATGCGTAATCATTTCCAAAATGCCACTGTAAACAAACTAAAGTTAATGCTGAATTGTAATTAAACTGATAATCGCAGAAACACAGCAACGGGCTGATATACCCGCTTCCTGGGACTGGCTGTGGGTGATGGATCAGTAAGGCTCATGGTAACTTCACCATCATTTCTGAGTGGGATGTAGCCACAGAAGCATAGCAGGCAGTGTTGCTGAGGAGCCCAGCCGTGTGTTTGCGGAGCAGGCCCAGATGGACGCCCGGGAGCATGGATGGAGGAGCTGGGCCCAGCTGTCCCACCTCATCCACAGGTACTCCGGTGCTCCACAGCCTCGGCCCTCACATCTGGAACCAAGTCCCCACCCGGCAAGTCTCTGCGCTCTGCCCCGGGCCCAGCCTCACAGGTACCCACCCGCAGCTTGCTACTAATTTACTGCTACAGTAGTTTTCATAATTAGCGCTGCGAGGCCTCATTAAATCCGCTCTAATGAATAAATATTGTATTTCATAGCTTGATTACCAGATCAGCTCAATGCTTGAGCGTCGTAAACAATTATTTCCCTAAATATTCATCATCCAAAAGTGGATGATCATTGGTATTTAATGCTGGTATTTTCAAGTGCATCTCTATTATGCTAATAGTTTTTCAAGCATTTGTTTTTGAAGGAGAACTGGGGCAAATGTATCCACACAAATAAATAAGATTTTACCTTTTGAGGTAACATTTTGAAAATGACATATTAAAAGGTTATTCATATAAAGTTAAAATTTAACATTTTACTGGAATACAGGCTCTTTCTTTTTTTACGTCCTCACCTTTCAAATTCTTTGGCTTTTTTTGCCGGACTGAAGGAAAAATATTGGATAATCAATTCTACACACTCATTGGCTTAACTCACATTGGCACATGCAGGCCAATAGCGCTGGCAAGACTGGCATTAGAGCCTGCCCACTTGACCTCTGACAAACACGCCAACGAACACCACTGAACACCACAACTAAGACCATTTCCACAGAAAAGAACAGGAGAGGGGCAAAGACGTCATTTAAAAAACGAGAACATGATTTACAGGTATGAGGCCCCCATTAGAGGTTGCTAATTGTTTCCACACCATTAGTGACGGTTATCCAATGAAGTATCCTAACAGGCACCATTGTAGGGCACTCAGCTCCGATGTCATGGAACAGTTTTGATCTGTGGTATACCCTCTACTCCAAATAGCAGAGGGAGCAAACCACAGACACAATTATCACGCTCATCACACTCACCACACAAGTGCAGTCAATATCTCACAGTCAGTATCTTGACAACCTTCCATAAAATAAAACCGTTTCAGTTAAATCTTTGCGTTCTCTCTTTCAGGTTAACTGAAATGTTCATATTTTTAATTGTCAATATTTTAAAATGTAAACTTCATACACTAATTATGTGCATTTTAAGACAGTGTTAACACCATCACTAAAAAGTTTTGCATGAACGTTGCAACTGTTCAAAATACTGGAATTCCTAGAATCCCAGAAATCAAATCACAATTCTAGAGAATTTCTGATGTTCTGAAATGTGTCACAAATACTCATTTTGCAATAATGAAAATACAGCATTATGTAGAACAGTCTAATCAAGCCTAAAAGCACGTATGTGGGTAACCAAGGAGTACAACTATAACAATGGGGCCAAAGTTTACTGTAAATGTTTTTATTTGTTCGCTTGTGTGCAGTACATACACACGGATCCCTAAAAGAACAATTTCAGAGAAGCCTGAACATCTAAACTCAATCTACCATCTATGTTAATAGATTTCCTGAACAATGCATGTACAGACAATCAGTTAAGGCACATCTGATGGGAAAGTTCATACCTTGCCAAACAAAACACACTGCCCCCCTCTACCACAGGGCCCCCGTGTACTGAAGCAGTAGTAATTCATCAAAGCAATTTTTCATATCTTAAGAGTGAATGCAAAGCTCTTTTCTAAGAGTGCAATCTTACAATGGAAGTTTTAACCACTTTAAGTGGTTAAATGAGTGATTCATGAGTGGACCACTTAAAAGACCCAGGACGAGAGAGACTTCAGCATCAAAATTTACAACTTAAGCATACTAGCTAAACTGCTGGGGAAAAAAGGACTTGTGACCTATAATCAAGTAGAAAAAAAATAACCGTTTTCTACGTAAATACACAGGTATCCCAAACATTTTCCCCTGATTACAAAATGCCACCACAGAAATCAACACATCTGTGCAACGCAAAAACTACGCAACTTTCATATATAAGAAATGGCACAACTATTTCAGCCCTTTTCACAATTGATTTTTTTGGAACAAGGAGACTGTATACCACCTTAGGAAATCAACTGCTTATTTTATACATTTAAAACAATGTAATTAAGGAAAGCATCTTCTCTAGGTCATTTAATGGCCTATTGAAAAACTAGGACTTGCATATCAACAGGATGCAAGACCATGTGCGTTTTAAAATATGAAAGCCGAACGGAAACCCCAAGCATCAGCTTAGAAAAACACCCGATGCAGAAAGGACACAGTAGGGCTCCAGGTCGTTACTGGTTCTCCTCCTCCTCCAACTCCCTTTTCAGGCTGCAAATAAACAAGAATCGCCATTACATTTAGATGCTGAAACATTATTATCCCTCACAGTAACAATACTGCCCATACCATCCACTCGCTTTCAATTACAAAAGTTATTAGCGAGATGGTGGCACAGAACCACCAGCCCAGTGTTCCAGTACCAAACTGTTTCCTCAACTCAATATTCCACCATTTGTGCCACCACCGTTCTGCACTGTTACACAAATACTGCACATATATTTCTGGGATCATCTTTTAGTTATATATAGCGTATTTCCATATCTGCTGCTGTTTTTCTACATTTACCCCTCCAGTACTGTGTATACGAGAGGTACTCATCTTTTCTCCCTAGGTCCAGATTCCATCAGGGACACAAAGCCAAGGTCTACTTTCCCCAGATAGATTTTTTTTTTGGGGGAGAATAAATCATGCATTCTAGATTTAATTGGCAATTGAGTGACCCTTGTATATGCTGCATTGCTGACTGGAGTGTTACTAAATGACATTTCACAACTCAATACAAAATGACAATGATTCTTTGAAAGAAAGAAAAGAACCAAAGTGTGGGTAACCTTTTCAGGTAGGCGTGCACGTTGTCATAGCCGTGGTACTTCGCCAGGTAGACCAGGACGCCCGTAGCACAGCGACCCTCGCGGGCCCGGCAGAAGCTGCAGTTGCATATGCCCCTGCAGGGGGGGCACTGCCAGTCCTGGAACACAGCCCAGTTTCAGTTCGCTTTTCCCTCTCAATGGCACCAAGTCATGTCCAGACATCAGAGAGATAGGCCTTTTCACAGACTAAACCGGGCCAGAACTTTCCAGAGCCGAGTGAAGTCTCAGGACTCACCGGGTCCAGCAGGGCGTCGCGGACCTCCTCTCCATAGCGGTTGCGTAGGCATGGCCCGCAGAACTGACCTCGGACCCCGACACACTCGGGGTTGCGGCAGTTGGTCTTTGTGTCTGTGGTCTTTTGGCGGCACTGATGGCATGTGGAGCCCTGGGAAGGACACGACCAGTTTATAAACGGGTAATAGGAGACCGGGGCTGAAGGAGCAGCCAGCCGCTGGATAGAGATCCCGGGGGGGGGGGGGGGGCACACTCACGGTGCAGCGGTTGTACACTTTGTCTCTGACGGTGAAGCAGATGTTGTTCAGCTCCTCCTGGGTGACCTCGCTCACCGGCCGCACCACGTGGGGAATGGCCAGCGCCCCTTGGTATCCACGCCTTCGGGGCTCCCCCTGAAACACACACGCAGAGTCCCGGTCACCTGATGCATGGGTGACAAGAGCCTTCCGCTCCAGGTGAAGAACTCAGCCCACTCAGGTGGTGCGACCCACATTTCATAAAATACAGCGGATCAACCAGCTGATCTTTTTATGAGAACGTTGACAACTGACAGTTGTCAGTAGGGGGCAGACTTTTGATGCCTTGTGGCGTGACAAATCCCAGCTCAACGGCACCCCCTCCCCCCGAAAGAAAGAATATATAAGCATATGGTATAAGGGGAGGAGTAACCTCTCCCCCGCTCACCGGTTCGTCATCCTCCTCATAGAAACGGCTCCTGCGCACCAGAGTGAACCGGTCCTCTGGGTCCTCGCGAACTGGGCTGGGCGGTCCATCCACAGCAGAGCGAGAGCGCGTGTGCGGTCGGGAGACACGCTCTGGGTTCCTCCGGCAGGGTCCGGCTGCCTCCAGAGATCGGCGTGGCACGCGGCGAGGCTGTGGCATGACAGAGCACCACACACTAAGTACCCACAGGTCCCTACTCCAACCTCACTGTTCCACCCTTTACCAGACTCCCAAGGCACCAGCCACTCACCGAGTCCGCCGACAGTGAGGAAGGCCTTCGGGGAAAGAGCCCAGGCACTTTATTCAGCTCCGCCATGAGCTTCGCCAGCTGAGGAGACAGAACCACCACGAGAGTGAAGACCCAGCGCCCATCTTCACTACAGCCCATTCTCCCGCCTGGTGCTGCATACCCACCATTGCCTTGTTCTCTTTTATGTTAAGTGCTCGCTTGTCCATGAAGTTCTCCCCCTCGTCTGAGTCAGGCTCGGACCCTCCATGCCGAGGCAGGGGCTTCACTGTGGGCTTCGGTTCGCTCGCCTTCCTGACGGGGAACTTCAGCGCCACCTTCAGGATGTGCGAGCGTCTGGTCCGGCGCTGAGGCCCGGAAGCCTCAGAATCAGAGTCCACTTTCTAAAAGAGAATGCAGAAACAAGTATGAAATTCACCCTGGGAGACACAGGGGATGCCACCTGACTGTGACTGGAAACTTGCAGGAGCGAAGATGCAAGGGAAAAAAAAAAAGAAGATGAAATTCCAGGGACCCATCAAACTGAAAAGTCATTGTTATTAACAGACAAAGTGCATCTGCAAAATGTCTTCGGTGCATTTGGAGGCAAGGTCTCATATTAATCAAGACAGCAGTTTTAGCTGACCTTTCAGTAATGGCATGCTATTACCTCAAGTTGCCATTTACAATAATCATTTTTAAAATTACTTGAAGTGTTATTCAGCACCGAGGATCTTTCTTGTTGCATTTAATCTTTCACCCTCCTCTGCCTGCGACCCTAACATATTTCCTTTAATGACTGGGAATTTACATCTTAATTGCAAAAGAGATACACTGACATTTCAGACTAAAATACACAAAGGAAAATGAAATTCCTCTGCTATAGTTTAGGACGCGAAGGATATTAAAGTAATGTGTGGGTCATTTAAACACCTGAATGTGCCTTTGTTCTGGCAGGAGCACTCACCATAGCCTCCATCCCCTTGCTGAACTCTCTGTCTTCAGACGCACTCTGTGCCTTGTCCTCCGCAGGGCCCCTGACCACCTTCGTCACCTTGGGCTGCTTCACGGATTTCTTCTGCAAGGAGTTAAAACTCTGCATCTCTGCTTGCCCCTCCCATCAACAAAAGCCCACCCAATTAAGACTTTGTGGTAAAGTAACCCTTCAAGGCATGCTATGAAACCATTACCAAGAACCTGTCATAGATGAGATCGGGCAGCCAATTGCCTGTGGACTACTTACAGTGTTGGCAAAGCCATCTGAACCAAAACTGTCACAGCTGTCATCAGAAGAGGACGAGGAAGACGACTCCATCGGCACCAGGGCGACATTCCGATAGCTGCGCAGACTCATCCTGGTATATGGTAACTGGGGGGTCAGACCACGCTGAACCAAAGCAAAGGGACAGTTAGACATTGACGTGAACTGCAGACACAGAGTGTAACCCAACATGCATTAGGACTGTCAGACACCAAGATTAACAATGCGGCAGCCTGATGGCAGATCTTGCAGACTGGAAACCAAACATCCTGTCTGGATACCAGCCACACCTCATGCTCCTGAATTTAATCTACTTTAAGTTCCTTCAGGTGCCAGCTGTTTTAAAGCGTGCATGCAGAAAACTGGGGCAGTGTGAGCGATCGGGATTGATGGTGATTATCAGGGCAGAAACGTTTGACCATAGTGGTAGAGTGAGTCTCCCTACACAATTAGGGCAAATGATGTTGGACATGCACGTTTAAATACACGTCGTTACGCGATCACAATGCAGAAAAAAAAAATCAGCGGAACATTTCGCCGACTTTAGCTGGGTAGGGAATTTTACAACTTAACACCTTAATTACCCGTACTTTATCAAATAAAGACGCCCTGTGGACTATACCAAAGTCAATTAAGGGTACTGCAGCTCGTGATCACACACTTTGTGGGGCATTCCGAAAGTATAATGCTTCGCTTTGCCAAACATACAAATTTATAATTAACAAGTCAAGTTAATACACATTTCACAACAGGATCTAATTATTTAAAATACTTCACAAAGCATGCAATGCTGAGTTACTCAAAATAGTTCGTGCAAATTTATAATAGTAGATTACTTTAACCTCATTGTTTGCAAGTGCGAATACCGTTAACATTTCCGACAGCTACTTGCAAACAGGCTAGCACTCGAGTTACCATTAAGTTATGCCAAAGTATAAGGTACCATTGGTGAGCAATCACAAAAATATACACACAAGTATATTTACATTACCTTCGTGCGAGATGGACGCATTTTTAAATGTTTGTAGTTCAGTATTTCTTTATTGCTTCTCTTTCTCGGAGTAACGTGCTTCTGGTAGTACAGCTTTGCACAAAGTAATTCCGCGCCACTAGCAGCAGTAAATCGCGTGCACAGATTTCCCGCGCCGACAGTCCTTACAGATACATATACATATACACTTAATTTTTATACAAAACTTGTCAAATAAAAAAAACGTTCAGTACATTATACTCAAATTAAGAATATTAAGTTATATATGCATGCCTTTAAACCCGTTTTGCTGTTTTTTTATTTTTAAACATCGTTCTCGTATTACATACTTTATTATTTTATAGGCACTCCATCGTGGCGCCAAATTCTACTTTTTAGGGGCGTAGAGAAATTGCATCAATAGACTTTGGGTTTTAAGGTATTAGGGCGGAATTCAATGTATTAATAATGACTTCTTGAGCTGTAACAGCAAATTATAAATTATTTCCACAATATATTACACACATGCCATGGTATTGTTTTTTCTAAATACAATATAGACTTTACAACACAGCTAGTGAACCTTACGAATGCATTCGTCCTTTGTTGAAAGCACTAGACCCACACGATATTAGTCAAGAAACATTAAGCTTTTCTGAGCTATAATTAGCTCGTAGGTTGAACAAGTGTAAACAATGACAGTGTGACTGCATGCAAGCTAAATGCGTTTCAACTGATAGAATTGGACCTTTTCTCCATGTTAAACGGGGAATGACAATGAGTACATACAGAGCGGTAAAAGGAATTCGTTTCAATTCTTAATAAATATGACATCTTTTACAAATACAATTTTGAAGGGGACTAAGAAGTCGTGCTCTTTGCTGATTTTTTTTAAAACACAATTCCAGAACCCTGTATCAAAGAGCAAAGGAAACGATGGAGTTACACAGTTAAATATCCCCAAAGTACCCATAGAGGTAATTTTCCATGATTTCATATCCTGCGTGCGTTAAGAGGCGTAAACAGGGTGTTACAAACGTGATATCGTAGAAAAAAAACCTTTGTACGTTTCTCGCAACATGACGCATCACAAAGTTATTAATTACAGGCAGTCCCAGTTCAAGTCGATGTGGCGCCTCACGTCCGACGCAAAGTGAAATCAGCTGGCAATTCGGCGCCCAAGGCAGCCGCCCGTGTCGCCTATAGGATTGGCCGGACCTGAATGCAAATAATTATTTTTCTCTCATTTGTTACCGGTTCGTCTGTCATTACGTTAATTTCCCGTTTTTTTCACAGCCTCAGAATCAGCGTGTTATCAGCTGCACGGAACAATCTCCTATCAGACCGAAGGCGTGGGAGGGCTGATTCATCGCGTTTTATTCACGGCCCTTCCTGCTCCACACTTTTCTCCAATTTTGCACGTTGGTAGGAGGGCTGAGTGCCGAGGTGGTGAGTCTTTTACCAACAGAGGTCCTTGTGTGTGATGCACTTCATGGAGCAGCCAGTAAGGAATGATCCCATCCAATTACATCCACCTTTGGCAGAAGAATGCTTGTTTACAGCGCTGCTAGGGATGGAAGACAGTCCATTGTGATTTAAGCTGCTGAATAGATGAAAACACCTTATGTGACTTTGAAACTCAAGATCGTAAGCCGTTCATCCAACATCCAGTCATGGAGTTGGACACTTACTATTGCAATACAGTCAAATACAACAGGACACTTGTTTTGGGAGATTTACCAAAACACTTGGGTCACAATTTAAGATCCTTAACCCCCCAGAATACTAAGGTTTCTGCAGTGGTCCAGGAATAATCAACAGTCTCTTAGCTTGACTGCCGAAAATCCTCTGTAAAACACTCAGCTAAATAATTGCTGAAGAGTGACTGTCCTCTTTGACATTACGCATACATCACAGAGTTCATAGAGACAGGTTCATTACTTCGAAAGGTACAAGAAGTCAAAGTGGAAGTGGCAACAAGATCTTTAAAATTAGAAATAGCTAAGGGGGTGGAGGGTTACAATTATCTGACGTGTCAGCCATCAATTTCCATCTGCCAAAAACTAATTAATTCAGTTTTGAATAGAGAGAAATCCAATAGCCTCAAGGAAAAGCCACAGAAATCCTCAATATCTTGCAATACTGTATTTTTTTTGTAATGTGTATATATATAATAGCCATCAGTTGTAATTCATAACTATAAAATAAAAGTACAATTTTGAATCATAATCCTAATATTTATCATGTCTTACAGTGAGTTTTGCAATCACAACACACAAAATGTTTCAAGTGTTTAATGATATTTACTGAGCATAAATTCCAGCCTCCGGTAAAAATAACGACAGCAGTTGCTTTGCAGAGAACAAACTTCAGAATAACTCCAGATTCATGAACTTAATAAGAAATCTCTCCATCCCACATCTTGTCTACTAACAAAGGCCTCTTTATATATCTTTTTCCCAGCAATAAATCCAAAGGTCACCACCTAACCACACTTGGTTCATGGTCCGGGTGAGTCTATTGTGTGTGGATCACAGTAGACGAGATCACAGGAGTGGCACTAAATACATTTCCTGTGAGGATTGAAGACGGGCTTCACCGTCCCACGGGGCTCACAAAGGGAAACACCGGTGAGCCTCGGGCTCGGGGTGTACGCTAACGACTCCGCTTTGGCCCCCGACGAGCAGCACCGGGGACCGTGGTCCGCACCAGTCTAATCACTCTGGCAGAAACAATGTCTGATAATGATGCACAGGACCGGGCACTTTTAATGACAATTCATACATAATTCAGCACCTTTCGCTTGGCAGTGTGGCGATACCCTCATTAGCGGGGGCCCTCGGTGCCGTGTCAGATGGTGGCCACACAATCGCAAGCCTTCATTTCGTCTTTGAGGAGTGCAGCTGCTTCCATGACACGGCCAGCAAAAGGGGGTGCAAAAAAAAAAACAGCACGCCGGTTTGTTTTATTTAGTGCAAAAAAAAAAAACCTTACAGTTTGTAAAAACAAGGCTGACACGGAACCTGACACCAGGCAGGGGAAAATAATTAGCTCTCATTTTCTCAGGGCCTTGTTTCCTTCTTCCCGCTGTGTTTCTACCCACTAAAACCACCACATGTCAGTGGAAATGGGAGGCAATTAGCAGGCTCATTTCAGCCCTGCCGAACGCACTGAAAAGAGACTATTTATGATGGGACAATGAACAGCTGAAAGATTAAATAACATTTGCCTTTTAAAAAGAAAATGACTTCTGCCTAAATGGGCCATTTTTGATTATATTCAAACAGCAAGTGGAGGAGCAGTCGTTTGCCACCCTTTAAGACCGTAACAAAAGACCCGGAGCAAGTGGGAATGAATTTAAAGCGTTGCTTTAGATGAAAGGCCCTTTTTTCCCCCCATCTCTTTTTTTTAAGAGCAATACATGCCTTGTTATGAAAGAAACACACTTAGCATGATAGTGGTCAATATGTGAGAAAGTGGCTGATACGGGATAATGATGAGTACTTTTACACAGTGAAATGAATATGGAAATTGGATATTTCCTAGATAAAACGTGCCGCCAACCTAGACATTGTTAAAACGCCAAGATTTTAATTAGCAGTGACAATAGTATATTTTAGAATGAGGATATCAACCTAGATGTGTTCAAAATAATTAACCAAGAGGAGATAAATCACTCCGACCTGGGTGGATGGATAAATCTCACTTAAAAGAAGAAATAGATTGCACGGCATTAACACGGAGGATTATTTTTGCTGTATTTGATATATGACAGCAATTCCTTCAGCTGATTTAACCATAATTCTTACAGCTGTCCTCATAAAGGCTTTGAATCACACTGCACTACCAGAGGACAACCTGACATGGCTGTTCAGGGGTGCTTCGGCAGCGGCTGCAGATCTGACCCTTACCTTCTCCCACGTACTGTATCTCTCCGCTCAGCCTGCAGGAGGGAGATCTTGAGAGTGTTTCTCAGGGAATGAGTGAAAAGCAGCAGTGTATTCATCTCGTTCTGAAAACGAGCATTCACGAAAAAAGCTTTCATAACAAGATAGCCATTAATATTAAAATTTAAATCACTTATGCGAAAATAATGATTATAATAAATTGTTTCTTGATGCATCTACTGTTAAAAAATCTTCTTCTGAAGAATGGGCCATATTTGCAGTCTGATTTTACCTTGTGTGTCACTCAATATTTTAAACTGGAAAAAAGTTACAATGTTAAAAAAACAGCATTTTGCCCTTCCTTCCGGTGAAGGGAACAGAACTTGTTGTTGTTAATAATAATAATAATAATAATAATAATAATAATAATAGATACTTTATTAATCCCCATGGGGAAATTGTCTTTATGCCTCCCTCAACTTGCTCTTTGTGGTGTAAGTTGTCCGCGAAGATCTGCATGCTAAGTAATGATCCTGTTGTTTTAATCTTATTGGGTCAGTCTGACTTTCAATCTTACTTTTGTCGTGTTCTTTTTCTAAGAGTCTCATTTTGCTGTCACCAGGCGAGTCACAGACAGCTTCATGTCACGTGCACATACTTGGCTTAAATGACGGGAGACACACGTGCATGCAAACGCGCAGAGGCACGTTTGAACTGACTGTCTTTTACATGTACGTGTTCCATGCAAGTGGGAAGTGAGTTGCTGGCAAGGTTTAGGGCTGTTAAGAGTTCGGCTCTTGGTTTTAAAGATATACTAATAACATGAATGTAAAGGAACAAAATGCAAGACCCCCCCCCCCAAAAAAAAAGACTAAGGAAAAGAATTACTGCAGGACCTTCTGAACGATGTTTCATCCATTACTGTTACATTAGCAATAGGCAACACTGTTAAATGATATTACTGAAAGCATGTTTAATTACTGAGATTACAACCAGCGGTATAAGGACACATTTATACATGATAAAGTGCATATATATTTTTTAAGTGCTTATGAATCAAAATAGGGCCTAATTTATTTCCCGTTTTCCAAAAAGATTTGTGCATTTCTACATTCGTGTTTATAGCTTTAAGGGTCAACGGTGAATACTCAAGAATCTCTTTGCTTGTGTTGTTTTGCATTACAAGGCAAAGTGACAAATACATAAACACTTAAAATATAAATACTAATGCACTAATTAGGACATGTCTTGGAAAATGGAAATCATTTTCTTTTACTGTAAT